ACCACCCCCCCCCCCCCCCCCCAAAAAAACCATCGCACCACCCCCCGAATCCCAGCGCCCCAAGGACCAGCTTGGCAGCCGGCGCTGCCTCCCTTCCCCGAGCTCTGCGAGGGCACCGTGAAAAGACCCCTAAAAAGGCCTTTTTTCACCCCAAATCAGAGGCCACGGTGAAAGTGGTGCGCGACGACTGCCCCCAGACCACGTTGGTGCTGGAGGTGATGCAGAGCAAGTTGAACATCAGCTGCCATGAGGTGGTGAGCAATGCCCAGGCAGGTACGGTTACCATGCTGCCGACGCCAAAAAAAAAACCCAAACCTGAAAAACTCAACACCCCCCCAAAATTTGGTATTTTTGGGGTGGTTTTTGAGCCAGTTCTCCCGGCAGAAAAGCGCGCGGTGGCCTTCATCGTCTACAAGGATGCAGAGGACTTGTTGAGCCTCACCACGGAGCCAGGGCAGGAAAGGCTCAATTCCCCCGTGGTGGGCGGCACCGTGGGGAAACGCAACGGCACCTTCAACGGCACCTTCAACATCACTCTGCAGCACCTCACGGTGGGCGCTTGGGGGGACGTTGGGGGCTTCGAGGGGGGTTCCACGGGGTTGGGGATCCCCAGGAGGAAGCACCGCAGGGTTCGTCGCCCCACGTGTGACAGCGCAACTTAGAGTCCTAGAACGGTTTGGGTTGGAAAGGAGCTTGAAGATCATCCAGTTCCAACTCCCCCTGCCATGGACAGGGACACCTCCCACCAGACCACGTTGCCCACGGCCACGGCCGAACTTGAACACCTCCAGGGACGGGGTCTCAACAATTTAGCGTTGGGTTGGCAACGGGCAGCGCCGCGGGGAGAATGTGGAGCGCGGTGATGGTGAATTTGGGGGTGAAGCCCCGTTCCGGGGTAAATTTGGAGTCGGTGAATCCCCATTCTGGTGTATTTCGGATCCAGCGTAAATGTGGGGTTGATACATCCCCATTCTGGTGCAAATTCGGATCCACCATAAATTTGGGGTCGATACATCCCCATTCTGGTGCAAATTCGGATCCAGGGTAAATTTGGGGTTGATACATCCCCATTCTGGTGCAAATTCAGATCCAGCGTAAAAGTGGGGTTGATAACTCCCCATTCTGGTGCACATTTGGCTCCACCAGAAATTTGGGGTCGATACATCCCCATTCTGGTGCAAATTCGGATCCAGGGTAAATTTGGGGTCGATACATCCCCATTCTGGTGCAAATTCGGATCCAGCGTAAATTTGGGGTTGATACATCCCCATTCTGGTGCAAATTCAGATCCAGGGTAAATTTGGGGTTGATACATACCCATTCTGGTGCAAATTCGGATCCAGCGTAAAAGTGGGGTTGATACATCCCCATTCTGGTGCAAATTTGGATCCACCATAAATTTGGGGTCGATACATCCCCATTCTGGTGCAAATTCGGATCCACCATAAATTTGGGGTCGATACATCCCCATTCTGGTGCAAATTCTGTTTTGGCGCATCCCTGTCTTGGTACAAAACTGGCACCAGTGTAAATCCAGATTTGGTGAACCCCCAGCCCGGTGCAAATTCGGATTCGGTGCATCCCCATCTCTACATAAATCTGGATTCTGGACAAGTTTGGGTCCATGCGTCCCCACCCTGATGCAAATTTGCAGTTGGTGCCTCCTCATCCTGGTGCAAATTCGGATTCGGTGCATCTCCATCCCTGCGTGAATCTGGATCCGGTGCAAATTCAGATCTGTGCATCCCCACCCTGATGCAAATTCGGGGTTGGTGCATCCCCATCCCGGTCCAAATTTGGATTCGATGCAAATTTGGATCCTGGGTAAATTTGGGGCTGGTGCATCCCCGTCTCGGTGCAAATTTTTTTGGGGCGCATCTCCATCCTGGTGCGAATCCGGATCCTCTGCAAATTCGGGCTTGGTGTGTCCTTACCACGGTGCGAATCTGGACGCGGTGCAAATTTGGGGTCGGTGCACCCCTCATGGGTGTTCAAATTTGGGATCCGGCTCATCCCCATCCCCGGTGCAAATTTGGATCTCGCGCAAATTTGGCCTTGGTGCATCTCCGTCACGGTGTAAATTCAAGTCCGGCACATCCTCGGCCCATTCCACACCCAAACCGACGATGGGAAGGGGCGGTGGGACTCCTCGCCGGGGCCGCCGGGATGCGTCTTGAGCGGGACCGTGCTCAGCAGGTGCCGAAGGCGGGCGACAAGCTGTACTGCATGTCCTGGAAGACGGAGGGCACCAAAGGCCGCTGGACGCCCTCGGGTTGCACACACGAGGGGGGTGATACCCACCACTCCATCTGCATCTGCAACCACTTCTCCACCTTCGCCATCCTCATGGCCATCCACCCCGTTGCGGTAAGATCCCGTTTGCACCCTGAAAAGATCCATTTTGGGGTTGGTTTTGGTTTTTTTCTTCTTTCTCAACGGTTGCGCGTGGCCACGCATCGCGTGGCCCGCGTGTGATGTCACCCACAGGACAGCTTCGCGCTGACGGTGGTGACCTACGTGGGGATATCGGTGTCGCTGGTCTGCCTCTTCCTCGCCATTGTCACCTTCCTCCTGTGCCGCTCGCTCTGGAGCGTCAGCGTCACCCTCCACCTGCAGCTCAGCATCTGCCTCTTTGCCGCCGACCTCCTCTTCCTCGTGGCCATACCCCTCACTGCCAACAAGGTATGGGCTCCTCGGGGCCTCCTTGAACATCTTGAGACCTTCAGGGGCTTCTCCGGGTCTCCATGAGCCTCCTTGGGGTCTCCACGTGTTCCTCAGGGTCTCCTTCAGCATCTTGAAGCCATCAGGGGATCCTCAGGTTCTCCTCGAGCATCTTGGGACCTTCAGGGGATCCACAGGATCTCCTTGAGCCTCCTTGGGGTCTCCACAGGCTCTTCAGGGTCTCCTTCAGCATCTTGGAGCCATCAGGAGACCCTCAGGGTCTCTGCGAGCCTCCTCGGGGTCTCCACATGCTCCTCAGGGTCTCCTTGAGCATCCTGGAGCCATCAGGGAATCCTCAGGGTCTCCTTGAGCATCTTGGGACCTTCAGGGGATCCTCAGGGTCTCCTTGAGCCTCCTTGGGGCCTCCACATGCTCCTCAGGGTCTCCTTCAGCATCTGGGGACCTTCAAGGGATCCTCAGGGTCTCCTTGAGCCTCCTTGGGGCCTCCACATGCTCCTCAGGGTCTTCTTCAGCATCTTGGAGCCATCAGGGGATCCTTAGGGTCTCCTCAAGCATCTTGTGACCTTCAGGGGATCCTCAGGGTCTCCTTGAGCCTCTGTGGGATCTCCACAGGCTCCTCAGGGTCTCCTTGAGCATCTTGGGACTGTTGGAGGCTCCTCAGCATCTCATTTAGCTCCTCTGGGTCTCCGTGAGGTCTTTGGGGCCTCCTCAAACTCCCCAGGACCTCCTCGAGGTCCTCGGGGAGCTTGTGGGGAAAAGGACCCAGGGTCACGGCTCTTGGCTGTAGCCTCTACCCTGATAGGTCCAGCAGACCTTCTGCTGGGGGTCCCACCTCATGCTGGGTGGGCGCAAGCACCTGGATTATGGGATAACCATGGTTGGAAGGTTTGGTCCAACCCCAAGTCAAAGCAGGTTCAATTAGTAGAGGTTCTTCAAGGCTGTAGATTCCCCTCTTGCTCTGGGTGAGCGTCAGCACCTGAATTCCAGAATAAATGAGGTGGAACGGGATGTTCGCAGGTCTCCACACCAATCTCCACTCAAAGCGGGTCCAACTAGTTGAGGTTCCTCAGAGTTGTTGGGTCCAATCTCTCTCCGGGTGAGCAAAAGCACCTGAATTACAGGATGCCCAAGGTTGAACAGGATGTTTGGAGGTCTCCAGACCAACCCCAACTCAAAGCAGGTCCACCAAGTTGGGGTTCCTCGAGGTTCTTGGGTCCCTTCTTCCTCCGCGTGGGTGGAGCCAACTGAACTACGGGATAACTCAGTTTGGAAGAGACATCCAAATGTCTCCAGCCCAAAGCATCTCCGCTTCCTTGAGGTTCCTTGAGACCACACTGGGGAATGTAGAACATCTCCATGTTCCAGAGATGCCACCACCTCCCCGGGCCACACTGTGGTGACACCGGGGAGCCCAACATGGCCTTGTTGTCCCCCATCCAGCTGGCGTGTGCCATCATGGCGGGCTTCCTCCACTACCTCTTCCTCGCCTGCTTTGCTTGGATGTTCCTGGAGGGTTTGCACCTCTTCCTCACCGTCAGGAACTTGCGCGTCCTCAACTACACCAGTGCCAATCGCTTCAGGAAACGATTCATCTACCCCGTGGGCTACGGCACACCAGCCATCATCGTGGCCGTCTCCGCCGCCATCCACCCCGGCGGCTACGGCACCGAGCGCTAGTGAGTCCCACCAACACCCAAGTTGGGGTCAACCAAGCGGGGTGGGATCACGAATGGAGAACATCAGGCGTTTCGCCTAAATCGCGCCCCCAAAAAAACGATGCCACGGCATCCGGACCGGGGGATTTTCTCGCCACCAAAATCATCAAAGGAAGTTTTCCGGGGGGTTCTTCCCTTTTTTTTTTTTTTTTTTTTTTTTTTTTTTTCCCAAGGCAAAAGTCCACCAGGAAGCAGTCAACTGATCTATGGCTCAGTTTCAGAAAAGACCAAGCAGCACCAACTGGATGATCTTAGTCCTGTGCACCCACGGACCGAGTGCCCTCAGCAGAGGTTGCACCGCAGTGCTATTAATGATGGGGTTTTTTGCGCCGTTGGCCCTTTTTCCATCCCAAATTCATCACCGTGGCCACGGCTCTTCCCCTGTAGACCTCCAGGTGAAGAATTTTAGAGATTTGCATGAAAAGAGTGAATTTGCTTCTATATTTAAGGATGGTATTAAGCAAACACATCACGGACTGGGTGTGCTCGGCGAAGGTCACGCCACGGTGCACGGTTTTGCGCCGTTGACCCTTTTCCACCCCAGATTTACGCTCCGCGGATCCTGTCCTGGATAACGATGGGTTTGGGGTTCTTTTTTCCCCTTTCTGCCCAGGTTAACTTGCTATTTTTTCTCACCACCCTCTGGATACTGCGGGATAAACTCTCCTCCCTCAACGCTGATGTCACGGCCCTAAAAAACACCCGGTGGGTTGGGTTTTTTTTGCGTCGGCAGGAAGCGCGTCGGGGGTTGGGTTGGGTTGGGTTGGTTTTTTTTGAGGAAAGGGGAGGAGGAAGAAGAGCATCTAGGATGGGGTTTGGGGTGAAAACCAAAAAAGAGGAGAATTGAGTGTATTCTGTCAGGCTGATGACGTTCAAGGCGTTGGCGCACATCTGTATCCTGGGCTGCACGTGGAGTCTGGGCTTGCTGCAGGCCCAGGGGGACAACGTAGTGGTGGCCTTTGTCTTCACCATCGTCAACAGCCTGCAGGGAGCCTTCATCTTCCTCGTGCACTGCGTCCTCAACCGTCAGGTACCGTGGCGGGGACGACGCAAGAGTCTGGGGATGAGTGGGAGGGGACGGGGACGTTCAGGATGTGGCTGTGGGTCCCATCTGTAGGTGACGGAGCAGTACCGGCGTTGGTTTAGGGCGCTGGGACGACGAGGGCAACCCCAGGAGATGCCCACCACGGACATACACATCACCTATGTCACGGTAAGGACACCTAGATGCCTGGGTCCCTGTGGGAACCTGGAGGTTTGGGTCACTGTGGGGTGTTGGGTGGGCACCCAGATGCCTACATCCTCTGGTTGCCACCAAGGGGAGGTGAAAGCCACGGGTGACATAGGGGAGGTCGCCTGGTCTCCCCAGGGTGCTTGGGGGTCCGGTGAGAGACCACCAGGACCTCTGCCCCATTTCCGCCTCGTTTCACCCCAACACGGCCCCTTTTTCGCCCCCCCAGGAAGGGGAGAAGCCGCAGAGCCACGGCACCGAGGGCTGCACGTGGGAGAAGTGACAGTGGGTGCCACGCAGGACCGACCCCTTTCCAGCAGTTTTCCCGTGCATCCGACCCATTTCCAGCGTATTTCCTGCAGTTCCAACCTACTTCCAGCAATTTCCAGGTGCATCTGACCCATTTCCAGCAGTTTTCCAGGCACATCCAACCCATTTCCAGCGTATTTCCTGCAGTTCCGACCCATTTCCAGAGTATTTCCTGCAGATCCAACCCACTTCCAGCAATTTCCAGGTGCATCTGACCCATTTCCAGCAGTCTTCCAGGTGCATCCGACCCATTTCCAGCATATTTCCTGCAGTTCCAACACATTTCCAGCACATCCAACCCATTTCCAGTGTATTTCCTGCAGATCAAACCCACTTCCAGGAATTTCCAGGTGCATCTGACCCATTTCCAGCAGTTTTCCAGGCGCATCCGTCCCATTTCCAGCATATTTCCTGCAGATCAAACCCATTTCCAGCAGTTTTCCAGGCGCATCCGACCCATTTCCAGCGTATTTCCTGCAACTCCGACCCACTTCCAGCCTTTCCCCCAAAGAAAACAACCAACTTCCAGCATTTTCCTGCACAACGACCCGTTTCCAGCATTTTTCCAGCAGATTTGACCCATTTCCCGCATTTTTGCCACAGAACGACCGATTTCCAGCATTTTCCCCAAAGACTGAGCCATTTCCAGCATTTTTGCACGGAACAACCCATTTCTGGCATTTTCCTTGTCTTTTTGACCTGTTTCCAGCATTTTTTTCCTGCAGATCTGAGCCATTTCCACCATTTACTCTCAGAAACGACCAATTTCCATCATTTTTCCCGAGCAATGTCCCGTTTCCAGCATTTTTCCTGCAGATTTGACTCATTTCCAGCATTTTTCCAGCAGATTTGACCCATTTCCAGTATTTTTTCGCCAAAGAACTGCCAACTTCCTGCATTTTCCCTGCACTTTCGACCCATTTCCAGCAATTTTTCCTGCAGATCTGACCCATTTCCACCGTTTCCTCTCAGAAACGACCACTTTCCGTCATTTTTCCCGAGGAACATCCCATTTCCGGCATTTTTTTCCTGCAGATCTGACCCATTTCCACCATTTCCTCTCAGAAACGACCAATTTCCATCATTTTTCCTGAGGAACGTCCCGTTTCCAGCATCTTTCCTCCGATTTGACCCACTTCCGACATTTTTCTCCACGCATCGTCGAATTTTCGGCATTTTCCCCCCAAGCGCTTACCCCATTTCCACCATTTTTCCGCCAAACGACCCATTTCCAGCCGGTTTTGCCCCATTTTCCGGCTCCTTTCCCTCTGCCCTTGCCCCATTTCTTGTTGGTTTTTCCTATGGGATGACCCATTTCCGGCCTCTTTTCCCTCAAGATCATTTCATTTCCGGCCATTGGAAAGGATCCGGTGGGAATTTTGGGCTGAAAAAAGCTGATTAAAGGCACATGGTTCGTCCCTGAGGAGTTGGGCTGGATG